CCTGGCGTGTTGCACACGTTCCAGGGGTGACTGGTGCCTTGCACTAGCGGGTCTCCCTGGCTGCCATTGAGCAGGGAGACAGCACGGACCCGCGTCTGCTGCCGGTCCTGACCCAGGTGGTCGTGCCCCGACGGCACCGGGCGGTGGCGGCCCAGGGCGTAGCAGCAGGCAGAGGCTGGGGGTCCTGGCAGTGTCGCCAGGCTGCTCTGGCCACAGTGGCTGGGGTTGGGGCACGGGGTGGGGGATGCCTGGGGGGGCTTCGTGGAGCTCCCCCTGCCAGGCTGAGATCCAGGCAGTGCTTGCAGCCCTCCTGACCATGACCCCGGTGCCCAGCTGGGCCTCGCCTGGGAGCTGCTCTCAGCGCTGGGGGTGACCCCTACGCCGCCCAATGTCACAATCACCCTGAAGCCTAATGACGGTGGCAGCAGCAGAATTGGGCTTGGGGTTGGCATTTGCCCTGTGCCACGGCGGTGCCCTGCTCTGCTGGAAAGCCTGGGCCTGATCCACGTGGGGCTCTGCCAGGTGCCTGGCCAGGCCTGCCTGCTGGGGGTTGCCCCGGGTCCCGGCTGGGCCTGTGTGCAGACGAGGCCATTCCCTGCGCGGCCTGGAGCACAGGGCATAGCTCCAGCACGGGGGTCCTGGCTGGTCCCTGGCCTGGCGGTGGGAACTGCCTGCCCTGGCTGCGGCCCGGCTGGGGCGGGTGGAGAGCCCCAAGCCCCCGGTCCGGGGATGCCCCACGCTCCCTGGGCCCGGTCGTGTCCCTGCAGCCTTGCTCTCGCTGCCCAGCTCCTGCTGCACGAGGCTGGCTCGGGACCCGGTTGCCGCGAGGCGAGTCCCGGGGACCGGGCTGGGGCGCAGGACATTTGCAATTCTATCCCAGCGTCTCCCGTCGGCTCCTCGCGAGGCAGATGCTGCTGCTGGGTCGCCATGGCAACGCGGCGCTCGCTCTCCCCGGAATTGCCGGCTGGAAAAATATTAGTTTAAAAAACTCGGTGGGGCGGGCAGGGCCGCGTCCCCACGCCGGGTGCAGCCGAGGCAATGGGCCTGGTAGCACCACCAGCACCCGTGTGTCCTGCCTGGCTGCAGAAAGCCCCAGCATGGAGGGAGACTCTCCCTTGGCGGTAGCAGTAGAGGGGCTATGGCACAGCATGCGGTGGCTCCAGCGCTGCCGGGCAGGGGCCGTGCTGCCCCCAGCGCGGTCAGTGCCGCGGCCGCGCTTCCTTTGTCGCATGCTCCCTCGACTCCAGCGTGTCCTCGGCTTTTGTTCCTGCCGTGCTGCAGCCGGGCGGGGGGCAGGGCTGGGGAGGCGGCGGTGCCAGGGCCCATGGACCTGCTGGTGTGCCTGGGGAAGGCGCGAGGGTCCCAGGTGCTGCAGGGGGCCGGGGAGCGCAGGGAACGTGCACTGGGCCGTGCCGGGGCTTCCCTGCCTCCCCGGGGAGCCGAGGCCTCCTCAAGGCCTAAGCACCAGCGCTGTCCCGCTGCCCGGTGTCTGGCCTGCTAGTGGTCTCCCAGGACCCTGCAGGCAGCTGGGCATGAGTCTCCCGGGTGCCAGGATTGTGCCCCAGGCGCTGGGCTGGCCTCCGCGGCCTGCAGAGCCGGAGACGTCGGCCTTGCCCGCTCAGTGCGACGCCAGCCGCCCGGACACCGAGGTTCCCCTCCTGCGCTGCTGCGAGTGTCGGGACCAGGTGGTTCCCTGCCTCGGGCCTCCCTTCCCCCCTGCAGCGCGGCACCGGCGGCCACGTGCTTGTCTTCGGTCAGGGGTTTCCAGACCCGGAGGTGACCCAGGGCTGGGTCTGGAAACCGCGGGGTAACCTCTGGGGAGCACAGAGCCCCGCACCCGGCGCTCGTCTCACGTACCGGAGCTGGGTCCCTGGAGAGTGCCTTGCTGAGTCCCCTCGGCAGAGCCTCCACGCCCTTGTGCACGGGCAAAGCTGGCAGGCGACCGCCCCTGGGCCGTGGGGGGCACATGCATGACTGTCGCTGCCCAGACGGACACGTCCTTGCTGGGCTTCCCACTACCCCCTTTGTCCTGGAGCAGACGCTTCCTTTGGCAGAGCCTGGCCCGTCCAGTCCCACCCTTCCTGGCACAGGCACAGAGCCCGGGGCCAAGACCTGCCCAGGGCACGGTCATAGCAGCCCGGGGGCCGGCCCCTGCCCCGTCTGTGCAGCCGGGGGCCGCACTCGGACCCGTGCAAGCAGCAGGCTGCAATTCTGCTGCATTGCGGAGGCCGCCGGTGCGCAGGGAGATTGGCACGAAGCAATAAAAGGAGCTGCAGCTGCTCTGGTCCCCGGGAGGAGCCGCAGCGCTCGCTGCAGATCCCCTCCGTGGGATCGGGGCCGCGGTTGCCTGCGGGGAGAGGCCGCCCGTGTCCAGCGCAGCTGCGGCGTTGCCCGTGCTCTCCGGAGCGTGGATTCAGGGCCCTTCTCACGAGAGCCTGAGCACGGGGCCTAGCCTGGAAACCCCGGGGCCGTGGGAGCATGTGGGATGAGTGTGCCCCTGGGAGCGAGCGAGTGCTGCGGGCACGGTTGGGGTAGTGGGAACGACTGAGCGCCGCCTGCTCCCCACCACTCGCAGCCCTGCCCGCCAGCGCGAAGCAGCCGTGGCCGAGCTGCCTAATGAAGCCATCAAGCTGCTGAGCGCCTGCCTGGCTGCGCGGGCCCTGACAAAGGCTGGCTGGTCTCCGGGGACCGGGGGGGTTCCCTGTCGCTGGCGCTCTCCCGGCGCAGCCTGCGCGTGGCTCCGGGTGGGACATGCGTCTTGCATCTGCTGTGGTTTCCCAGTCCTGGCTGGCGGCAAACTTTGTGAGTTCACGAGGAGAGCGAGACCTGCCCTTTGGGGTGGGCGCTGCAGCCAGGAATAGAGATCGGCTGCGGTGGAAGGAGCTTGGAGGCAGCGACAGGGCTCTCGGCACTTGCCGGCCGTTGGCTCCGTCTCCAAAGGGCTCAGTGCGGAGGCAGGAGGTGGGCAAGGGGGCTCAGGGGCAGCCACTCGCCTGGGCCTGGGCCTGCAGATGTGCCAGGTGTGCAAGGGGCTGCCGGGCCCTGGCAGAGGGGGTGGCTTGTTCCCAAGACCCCGGAGCCGGCACCGCTGTGGTGCCAGCTGCCTGCTCCGTCTCTTGTCCCCCCTCAGTGTTCATGGCAGGGAGGCGCGATGCCCACCCTGGAGCTGGGCGAGGTTGCTCAGGTGCTGCGATGGATATCACCATCCTGTAACCGGCTCGGGGGTCTCAGGCCACCAATGGGCGCAGTGGTGGGGCCGGATAGCGTGTTCGTGGGGTGTCAGAGTGGAGAGGGCAGGCACGAGCATTGCTGGGGGATGATGGAGGGATCCGCTGAGGCTTGGAGGACTGTGTGCTTGAGTCAAGTGTGCACGAGTGTAAACATGCATGTAGGCACACGTGTACCCAGATGTGCATGTGTGCATATGTGTTGATGCATCCACGTACACGCATGTGCGCACACCTGCAGAACAGGCTCATAGTCAGGGCCCGGACTAGCCGTCTGTGCATCTCCAGGAGGAGTCAAGTGGCGCCACGGGGTGATGATCCACGTGAGCTCTGTGTCCAGGTCTGGACGTGGCGGAGAGCCAGCCCATGTCTGCCCCATTGCCCACGTGGGGTGATAGCAGTCACACGGGGCTGGAGCACATGGCCGTGAGCTGCTGGTGCGTGCCTGCGTGGTGCCCTTGCTGGCCTCCAGGTCTCGGAGCCATCCCACGGTTACGTGGTTGCAGCCGAGGCCAGGCAGCTGTGCCCAAGGACCCCCGGGGTGGTCTTATCTCTTGGAGCTGGTTTGTCCCACCTTAAACTGCTGCTGCTCTCCAGTTCCCATACAGCTGGTGTGTGCACACGTGCGCTTCCCCCACCCTCCATTACCCCGGGGGGCTTGGGCCCCTTCTGCCTGGCAGGGTCCAGCTCTGCCACTGCAGGCAGGATCCTGGGACAGGCAGCACCAGCTCATCCCCCACCATCGCCTGCATCCGAGTCCTAGGAGCCCCCCTTCCTGCGGCCCTGTAATGGAGGGAGGCTGGAGCATGCCGTGCAATTACGAGGGATGGATGGTGGCGGTCGGAGCTTGTTAGCCGCTATCAGCCACTTCAGCTGCACAATGGCACCCCGGGGTTTGTGCGGCCTGGGCCCGCCTGCCTCTACCCCTGCGGGCCCAGCTGGGCAAGGATGAGCCGTATGGCCGGCGGCTTCCAGGGCCCCGTGGAGGAGCCCCAGTTTGCCCCCCAGGCACCTATGGGACGGGGCACAGCAGTCCTGTGCTGACCCTGGCCAGAGGCTGGCAGGCGCGGGGCAGCCTGGGACCCCGTGTGCTCCTTGGCTGCCCCTGCGCCGGGTCCCCATCTCCCGCGGCAGGCGAGGGCGGAGCAGGGGTGGAGCGGACGCCAGGATTAGCCCTCTAATCCCCTTTGTGCCACTGACAGGTTGCAAGGCCTCCCTCCGCCCGCGGCTCTGGAGCTGGGGTTGACAGCTTGGGCATGCCGGAGCCCGGGCTGGAGCTCCCCAGCACTACCAATGGCCTCGGCCCCCACGCGTGGCTCAGGGCCGGGAGTGTGGAAGGGGGCATTGTCCTTGCTCTGCATCACCCTCTCGTCCCTGCTTGAGGGACCAAGGCAGAGCATGTCTGGGCATCCTTGGATTGAGGGTGATGCAGAGGGCACCTGTGGGCTTGGCACCGGCGGGCCCTGGGGCTGCCCATGCAGGGCTGCCAGGGGCTCCAGGAATGAGGCTTGTTTAGTCTGGAGCAGAGCCGGGCGAGGGGCCGTGATCACAGGGTTCAAGGCTGCTGCCCGGAGAGTGATGATTAGCCCTGCTGCACGTCCCGTAATTGCTGGCGTTTGCAGACAGGTTGGAGCTCAGGCTCTGCTGCTGTTGAGCCTGGGGCCGGCCGTGAAGGGGGCGGTGGGAGTCCCTTCCAGGGGGCTGAGAGCTCTGCCAGAGCAGCTTGGGGCGCCCGCGATCCCTCTTGGGGCTGGGCGATGTGGTCCGTCTCTTGCTGCCCCATCCCGGGCTCTGACGGGTTGGTGCCCACAAGCAAAGGCGTCTGCGCACGGCCGCAACACAGAGGAGACCAGCCCGGCGCACCGCAAGTGTGGAGCCCACGGATGACGTGGCTTTTGTCGGAGGCTGCTTTGGAAGGGGAAGCCCCCAAGCCCCGGCCATTTCACCGAACAACGGCCGATTTCCGCGGGGCAGGAGCAATCGAGTCTGCAGCAAGGCTGTGAGAGGGGGGCGCATGGCCAAGGGTGCCAAGCCATGCTGGGAAGGAGCCGGGGCTGTGGATAAGTCGTGCCAGGGAAGGGCCTCCAGGAGCACAGCGGGGAGCAGGTCTGTGCACATCGAGGTCGGGGTCCATGCGTGGCCCTGGGCAGGCCGGAGGGTCCGTGGGAGCTGAGCTCTGTAGGGAAACACGGGGGGCCGGGGGCTCGCACAGCGGGGTGCTAAGAGATGGAGCATCGATCCCCTTCACCCACAGAGGCTTGGAGTGAGAGCGTCCCATCTCGAGCAGGGTTAGCCGAGACTCGCCGTCATCTGTTTGTTGTCCCCGTGGCCACTGCCCCTTGGAAAGGACAGAGCCCAGCTTGCTGCTGTTCTGGCTGTGGATGAACGAGCTCCAAAATCACCTGATTTCACCGAACCCCTCCTGGGCTCTTGTTCAGGCCCCCTCTGAAGTACTTCCCCGGCGACAGCGAAGTGAAACGAAGCACAGAAGCAGGTTATGTCCACATCCATCTGATGTAAAAGCCGTGCACAGATGAAACGTGGACTGCGATCGCTACAGCTCCTGCTTGGGATGAACCTCTCCAGGGGTGAGGAAGGTGCTTAGCCCAGGGTGGCCTGGACAGCCTAGGCCGGCCCCTGTCGCGAGGCCGAGGAGGCGCTCGGTGCGAGAGGCCTGCATGGTGGCGGGGCCCTTCATCACGATGAGTTGGGTTAGGGCTGGTGCAGCTTCTCTCCGTTGTCCCCAGTCTGGAGGACAGGTGGAAAATGACCTGCCGATCATCAAGCATCTCCTTAACGAGCCGTGTGGTCAGGCTTCCATCTGCATCACACACTGCTAAATTGCCAGTCAGCTCTAATGAATCAGGGTAGCGAATGCTGGTGCCTGGCACCCCAGCGCCAGCCGGCAATGAGTTGTGGCCGCTGAGCCCAGGAAGGACTGGTGGCCTGCAGGGGTTGGAGACTGCTCAGCATCAGCGCAGCACAGCGCTCGGGAGCATGGTCACTTGGATGGCTTATGATGGGGCTGGCTGGGCCTTGTACCCCCCAGGTGCATCAGGAAGGGAAATGTGGGGAACTGCACCTTGAAGGGGCTCTGGCATGAGCTAGCTGGCCTTGGTTGCAGCAGTGGGCTGGGGCTTGGCTCCATGATGCAGGTTGGGCGGGTTTGGGCACTGCATGGAGCCCTGGGCTCTGAGTGGTGCCTGAACACCCACCTCTGGAGCTCCTTTGAGAGGGAGGTGGGGGCATGTCTGGGCTGCTTGTGTCTCCCCAGCATGGCAGCGATGGTCACTGGGCCAGTCACGTTCCCGCCTGCCTGGAGAAGGGGACTCTGGCTCTTCCCCAACAGGAGCCTGAGCGCTGCATTCACCTCCATGGGGCAGGGGTCAATGGTGCCCCAGCCCCCGCGCCGCCCCTCGCTCCTACACCCCCGACATCAGAGCCAGCCTCCAACCTTGGGCCCATTTCCCCGTCCGCCCTCCACGAAACCCAGCTCCGTCTCTCCTGCCTGGGAAACGTTGTCCATGATTTATGTCCTGACCAGATGTTTCTGACCCTGGGCCCGGGGAGTCGCTTGGATGAACGGAGAGCAAAGCTGGGGGCACTGGAGGGGGGTGGAAGAGCCCTGAGCCCCTCAGATGCCCACAGCACATGTGGGGAGGGCTGGCACCACTGCAGGGGTCGTCCAGCTCCATCACTCTTCCCCGGGGTCACCAAAGGCTTTCCTCTGTGCTGCTGACCCTGCTGCCGAAGGGCCCCGCATGACCGGACCACAGGGACTGGGTGCCTGCTGCTGGGGTGTCCCGGAGGGCAGCGTGGGGCAATGGAGCCGGGTGCCCGGGGGTGTGGAGGGTGCAGGGGACAGGGATTGCAGGGGGATGTGGGGCTGTGCCTGGAACTGCCAGGGCCGGCTCACACCCGCCGGGAGCCCCTCTGCGCTTGTCCCGGGCTGGTGCAGGGAGGGAAACCTTGCCCCGAGGCAGCGCTGGGCAGCCCCCAGTCGGGACCCCCAGCCCCTTTGGGAGGGGTCGCAGCCTGTGTGCAGGGTACGTGGGTCCCAGGGCGTGTGGGCAGGAGCCTGGCATGGTCGCACAACTCACCAGCTGCATCTTCTTGCCCCCGCAGAGAGCTGAATGGCAACAACATCACCCGTGTGGGCAGGAACGACTTCTCGGGGCTGAAGCAGCTGCGCGTCCTGTGAGTGCCCTGCGCCCCTCCGGTCACAGGGGTCGAGGGGCTGCTGGGGGCTGGGGCTGAGACCATGGTCGCACGCGGGGACGTGGGGCTGGAGCGGTCGGGTGCCAGTCCCTGCCCGTGGCTCTGGCTAGGACGCGCCCAAGGGGCTGTAGGAAGGGAGGCTGCAGGGCTCGGGGGTCCAGCTGCTGACCCCTGGCAGCCTCATTGTAGCATCCTGTGGACAGACCATGGGACGTGTCAGGCCTGGCCCATGGGACCTAGCGGCTCTAGGGGGAGCAGGGGTCATTGTAGGGTTGGGGCAGCATATGGCCCTGATGGTCAGACATGACTTAAAGGGGCTCCCTCGGGTGCATGTGGCCTGCCTGGGGTCACAGGTCACCGGCCTTGGTGATTTGAGGACCTGCAGGGTCCATGGCAGTGTCAGGACTGGGCGGGGAAGAAACCAGGATCAGAGGAGAGGCTGGAAATAGTGCCCAGGGGGCGAGGGACCATGGCCCTTGGGTGCTTGCCCCCGGCTGGGGTCTCTGCCCATGTGGTTCGAGTGCCTGGAGCAGAGCCGCGGCCCTGGCGCCGCGTGGGCAGTGGCTTTCACAGCCCAAGGACCAGGGTGCTGGAAGATGCGTGCAGCAGGAGAAGCGAGGGCCGAGCATGGCACCGAGGCCGAGAGCTGGCCGCGTTCCCTGCCAGCTGCCCCACGAGTGAGCCGGCCCCGGCCCCGGCCCCGGCCCCGGCCCCGGCCATGTGCTGACCCGCGCTCTCCTCCTCCCTCCCAGGCAGCTGATGGAAAACCAGATCAGCACGGTGGAGCGCGGCGCCTTCGATGACCTCAAGGAACTGGAGCGGCTGTGAGTGTCCGGGGGCTGCGGGGACGGCAGGAGACCTGGCAATTGAGGGCAGGAATGCATTTCCCCTGGTTGGGCTGGTGCAGCCTGGGGAGGTTTTGCCTTCCTCTGCGGTAGGGGCACGGCCTGGGCCTGGGCTCTCTGCAGCGCCCACAACCCCCCTGGCAGCAGCTGGACGTTGGCAGCCATGGCCCCGCCGCACCCGGGGGGCAGGGGCAGGGGTGATGCCTGGGGCTATATCGGGGTGGCTGTGTTGTGTTGGACACGGGGTTTGTCTGGGCTGGTTTGGAGGGGGCTGATCCTGCCCCAGGCTGGGCTGGGACTAGATGTGACCCCGCAGCTCCCGGCCTTCCCTGCGGCTCTAGTTTCTCTCTAAGTCTTGGGAGTCCTCTTGAGCCAAGGCTTCCCTGCCCCCCCTCCCAGCTGAGCCAGACCTGAGGCTGGTGCTGCTTGTGGACATGCTGCTGCGGGCCCTGATCCCGCCTGTGCCCTTGAGCCAAGTGGTCCGGTGTGGCCAGAGCTGAGGGGTGACCTCCATGGGCTGGAGGAAGCAGGGGGTGACTTGGGAGGTGGTGCTCTCCCTCTGGCCACCTACTGCAGACCCCCCGACCACGGGGAAGAGCTAGACCAAGAATCCTCACATCAGCTCACGGAGGTTGTTAGGTCAAAGGACGTGGTCATCGTGGGGGACCTGAGTTTTCCAGACATCTGCTGGGAGGAGCAGTCAGCCAGGTCTGACCGCTCACGTCGGTCCCTAGCCCGAATGCAGGACCTCTGTCTAACCCAGGAGGTGCACAGCCCACCAGGGAGACGCCTTGTTGGACCTGGTGCTGACCACGGGGATGACCTTGTGCAGGGGCTGAGGGTGCTCGACCACCTG